GGGAGCCCGACATGGGACTCGATCCCGGGACTCCAGGATCATGACCTGAGCCGAAGGCAGTCGCTTAACAAACTGAGCCACCCAGGCGCCCCAAGAATCAAACATTTTTGAAAGACACCATTTTGATAAGTCAAGTTTTAAACCTATCCTTTTAAACCTATCATAAGACTGCCTTAAAGAGACTGTTTTTGCTCTTCAGCAAAAAAAAATTCTCAGGATGGTGGACAGTTTCACCAAACCAAATTCTGCACCAAAGTGTACAGAATAAAAATATTAATAAACAGGGCGCCTGGGTGGCTCAGTTGGTTAAGCGACTGCCTTCGGCTCAGGTCATGATCCTGGAGTCCCGGGATCGAGTCCCGCATCGGGCTCCCTGCTCAGCAGGGAGTCTGCTTCTCCCTCTGACCCTCTTCCCTCTCGTGCTCTCTCTCATTCTCTCTCTCTCTCAAATAAATAAAATCTTTAAAAAAAATATTAATAAACAAATTATATGTTATCAAGTCAATTCGAGTAACAATCACATTATAGTGACTGATACATGGCAGGCACTCAGACTTTTGTTGAATGAATGACCCAGGAAAGGCCAAAGTCGGTTGTCTCCATTTCTGAAATGTACTAGTAATCTTTTTTTACCCTCTTCTCTGGAAAAAACTATTTCCTAAATCTAACTCAACCCATGTTTCAAATAAATGAAAAATAAACTATTGTTTTGGAATTTTTTGTAAGCTCTTCTTCATTTAGAAATCTGACTGGGATCCAACAACAAAGTATCCCTTCTGGAAGTTTAACCCTATCTTCACGCTATACTACTTTTTAAAAGATTAAACCATAATTTAATAAACAGCATGATGGTGCTGGCTGGATTATTTCCCCTAATAATAATGTTATTATTATTATAATAAAATGTTACCCATCAAAACTGATTCATTAGCTATAAAAATATCAAAACTGATTTTCCTGTAAAATATAAAATGGACAAGAGATCTACCAAAATCATTAAATGTGAAAAAACACTAATGTATCACCCAAAGTCTAGTTTACCTAATAGATAACTGCTTACTATTTCTTTCCACAATTCCAATATATAAACATTTTTGGAATCCGCACAAAAACCTTGCACTGGGATATTATTACATACCGGATTACAAACCAGATATTATGATTACTAGTATTAATGTTCTAGCAATCCATTTCTTTCTCTTCCTCTCTCTGTCACACACGCACACTCAAGTCTCCAAATAACTGCCCCTGCCCGTCCAAATATATTTTTGTTTCTTTTACGACCTTTGAGATAATCGAAAAAGAGTAACATAAGGTATCATAAATATGAATCATCAGCTATGTCAAAAAGTCTAGGCGTTGGGGGTGGGGTGGGATGCAGGTCCTGATAAGGGAAAGTAAACAAGGTGACTCAACTGCGGAGGCACTTATTGTTCGTACGTGGGTCTGCTGCTTTCAGAGGGGGATGGGGGGACTCAGAACACCCGCTCCGGCTTTGCTGCCTCTATAAACTCCCTGGGCAGGAAAGGGAAGAACTCACTAAAACGTTCCTCCCCAGGACTTAATTTCAGAATCGCGGAAGGCCCTGCCCCGCGACAGAGCTGTCAGAACCGCCCCGATTCCCGCGGCTCTGCCCACAGAAACGAAACCTATGTCTTCGCCCCCATTCAGATCATCAGGATATCCTCAAACCTTCTCCTCCCCTCCCTTCACCGTTCATCTTGCAGACAACGAGCAGAAAGAGGAGGCTGGGGAGCCTTGTTCCAGGATGGAGGGAGGGCCGCGGGGCCCCGGGTTCTCGGCCTGCTAAGCAGCTGCCCCCTCGCTCACCCACCTGATGCTCTTTCACCACTTCACTGAGGCAGGGATACCGCTCCGAGATCCATCGGTAAAACTTGGGGACTCCCATTTCGACCGTCAACGCTAATTGCAGTCAGGGCCAAAGCGAAACCAAACGCCCCGCCGGGGCCTAAGCCGCTGCCTCCGGCCGTCGCTCCGCAGATGACAACACACCGCCCGCCCGACCATAGAGAGCACTCGCCGGGCCTAGAGCGGCCGATTAGAGGCCGCATCCCCGGGGCGGGGCTCTAATCCCGGCTCTAACTCGCAGCGGCCGAGCTCCCCGGTGGTAATGTTTAAGGGCGGAGTGGCGTGTTGGTGCGTTACATTTAGTTCTGGAAGTGTTTGTTGACAGAGCTGTGCTTTGTAAGTAGACGTGGGAGTGGTGTGAAAACCTCACGAGCCTGCTGGAAGAGTTTTGGAACACTGGTATTTGTCCTGCTTCTGTGTCCTGGAATTACTAATCTAAGTATTTTTCAACACAGATTTGGAAAGATCTGGTGACTTATTTGGTTTAGTTTGTTTTGTTTGGGGAGGGGGAGGTTTTTTTCTGAGGAATATAACCCTATATCAAACTTCTTTTAAAAACTTTTTTTTTCAGATTATTTGTTGGAAAAAATGTTCTAATTCCCCTCCACCCCCACCCAGCTTCCTCCTTAACTCAACATTAGGCTTCCCGAGGAAATGGTATACGTTTCACATTCATGTCTCTTGGTTTTCATGTTTTCCCCCATCACACTCTAAACCGTGCGGGAAAGCATAATTCTATCAAGAGATTTTAAGTAAAATTCTGTTATAATTTTTCCATTTATTTCAACGTAATGACCTCATAATTTTGTAAATATTGTGATTATTTTAAATAATCAGCAAGAAAACTTACAAAAAATGAACATTAAAATATCTTTAATTTTAAAATTTATGAAATTTTAAGTGTCTTTTAAGACCACTAGATTCTGTATTCTGGTAAACTCAGTATGACAGGATCTTTAAAATTACATTATTGAGTTTTCATATTCATGCTCCTTGGTTTATGTATTTTTCTTGTTACATTTTCAACCATACCAAAAAAGAGTTTTATTAAGTGAACTTGATGTATGCTTTATGTTTATATGTTTTATTAGACTAGACAGTTCCTAGAGGGCAGGGCAGGTAGCTCTGTTCAGGAATCTAGCATAGTGCTTTGCCTACAGCATTTATTCAGTGTAATTTTTTGTTCAAATGAATCCTTTTGCTAGCTAGTACTTAAAAGAACATCAATAAGAGTTATAAAATAAAATTAGGCTGGCTTGTTTCTTGCAAATACATCTTTTAGAGCATAAAAACATAAGATGTTCCATTTCTTCAGTTATAATGAACAATATATATTAAGAAAGCAGGTTAGGGGCACCTGGGTGGCTCAGTCAGTGAAGCATCTGCCTTTGGCTCAGGTCATGATCCTAGGATGGAGCCCCAAGTTAAGTTCCCTGCTCTGTGGGGAGTCTGCTTCTCCCTCTTCCTCTGCCCCCTCCCCACTTGTGCTCTCTCTCAAATAAATAATCTTAAAAAAACACTTTATTTCTTAACAACATATATTATTTTAAATATTATTAACAATAAGGGAGTTAATACCAGTTGCTCCGAGAACATAAACTTATGCTGTACTTTGGAACTGAATGTACAATCACAGTTAATACCAAATGCATTAGTTTTAGATTATTAGCATATTCTTTGAAGTAATTTCATTTCACATATATGGGGTCCAACCAAGGTACATTTGGCACAGTAAGTTTTCATCAGTAGCTTCTTGTATAAGGTAATGCACATGTCCTTCAATAGATAGTGGCAGCCCTGTCACTCTATTCCGGGTCTTTATTACACCTTGCAGTCGCTGCTCGATGTCAAGAACATGGGTCTTGGCCTAATAAGAAGAAATTGAAAATCATAAGTGCTAAGAACCTAATAATACCTGGATGTTGATAATTTGAAATTACTACTTTTCTGGTGTTTGACAAATGTTTATGTCATTTTACGAATCATTACCCCCTTTTTAGGAGCAAAAGCAGGCAAAAGAGAAGAAATGAAACAAATGCAATAACTTGAGATACTGATTTTGAGGCTTGGCAATGTTGATTTAGCATCAACTGCATGGACATTTTTCTGGACTATGTGAAATACTAGGGACTCTCTTCCACATTACAATTCTAGAAAAATAATAATTTAAAAAATGTACCCCAAAATGTTAGGACTTAAACATTTGAATGTTCTAATAATAGCAACAGTACTCTAAATGCCTAATATTTAGATTATGTTACTATGTGCAAATGGAGTTCTAAGCTACTTGGAATGAAAGGTGCACATTTCTCTCAATAAGAAAGCTTATAAAAATGCAAAAGTGAGAATGTTGTATTAGAATAACAATCCTCAATCTATTCTCACTTAATAAAAATGATTATCTGCAAACTTTGAAACTTCAACTAATGTTAGTAAGGAGTGAATTGCTATATATTAAAGTTGAGCCCTGCTGCTGATTTCTAAGTTCAGGCAATCTATGTTCCAAGTTTTTCCCACTATATCTCATAACTGCAAACTGTCTATAATTAAGTGTGTCTTGAACTTTATTACACAAATGATAATAATGTTAACATTAGTAAAGACAATAAAGAAAACTTATTGGCACTTTCATACTAAAGAACTACATTTCAGGGGCACCTGGGTGGCTCCATTGGTTAAGCATCCGACTGTTGACGTTGGCTCAGGTCATGATCTCAGGGTTGTGAGATTTGAGCCGCACATCAGGCTCAATGCTGGGCGTGGCGCTTGCTTAAGATTCTCTGTCTCCCTCTCCCTCTGCCCCTTCCCCTCCCTCTCTCTCTAAAAAAATAAAAAATAAAAAAAATAACTAGATTTAGGAGTTCAATGGCCAGTCACCGACAGTATTTAGAATCAATTCTCATTGACAGAGACATATTATGTCAGCTCATATCACGCTACACTTTCTACTAACCTTTTCATTGACAACCTCCCCAGTTTCATTCAGTGGTGCTTTGGAATGCCCTTTCACTGGTTTACTCCATTCCACAAGAGGATCATGTAGAAAAGTTTTTAAGACACTAAAATGCAAACAAATATGATGATACAATGTTATCTCTAAAAAGAAGTGCCGCTATAGTCAACATTTAGGTGAAAAATAAGTGAAGGATGAGAAGCTAATGGTAATATTCTTTTAACACACAGTACTGCATCAGTAAGACATGTGAACTTACTGTTTTAGACTGAGGGGTTGAAAGAAAAGAGGGAAGACAGAGGGGGATCTGAGGTGTTCTTGGAAAGTAGAGTAAGACGAGTTCTGTGTGCCATTTCTAAATGCATACTGTGCACTTCAAATAGAACTACCTATGGAAAAACCTACTCAGGCACCTCAAATTCAGTATTTCCAAAACAAAACTCATTACCCTTTCCCAAACTATTTTGCCTGTGTTCCCCAAATCAGTAAAGAACATTATTCACTCATTTGTCCTAAACAAAAGTCTAGGAATCATCCTTGCCTCTCCTTCCTCTTAACACTCAATTCTACCTCCTAAATCCCTTTAGAGTCTACTTAACTTCATCTCTACTGTCACTACCTCATCCAATGCACCATCATTTCTTCCTGAGTTACTCAAATAGTCCTCTAACTAGTTTTCTGGCCTCTACCCCAGACTGCAACTGTAATTTTTCTACAGTGCAAAATCTGATGAATTTCATTTCTTCTTTTTAAATTTGCTTCTTACCCCAACCCCCAGTGACTTCTGGTTTTTTTCACAGCAAGATTTAAACGGGTAAACCAGTCCCATGTGGACTTTTCATAATCTAGCCCTGCTCATCTGTGCCATCATCACAGCACCATCTACTTGAAGTGTACCCTCTAGAAAACAGAATTACATTTTTTAGGCAGTCCAGGCCTTCACTTGCCTTGATACTTCTATCATCAGAACACTCTCTTCCCCTTTGTGTGGTCAATTCCATTTATCATTAAGGTTTCAGCTACTTCCTTCAGAAATTATTTCCTGACTTCCCCAGGTTGGATAGGGGCTCTTAGTGTTTCACAAGAGGCTGTACTTCCTCTTGCAGAGAATTTGCCTTTTCCTATGTCTAATTAACCAGTACGTTCTACCAAAATGTCTGGTAGAGAGCTTTAAAGAAAGAAAGTGGATAAATGAGCTTTAAAAGTCCTTTTAAAAAACTACATCCTGTAGCTAACATCATATTTAATGGTGAAAGACTGACTTCTATACCCCTAAAATCAGGAATGAGACAAAGATGTAGACTTCTCACCTTGTCTATCTGACATTTATTTAGCTGGGGGCAATTGGCAAGAAAAAAAAAAAAAGCATGAGATCAGAAAGGAAAAAACAAAACTATCTAGCTGCAGATATTGGAGAGAGAAAAATCTTAAGGTATCTACAAAAATAAGTATTAGAACTAATAAATGAGTTCAGCAGTGTTTGCAAAATATGAGATAAATATACAAATATCAGTTGTATTTCTAAACTAACAATGAAGAGTGCAAAAATGAAATAAAAAATTCCATTTGGAATAGCATTTTAAAAAGCACATTTTTAAAAAATACAAAACCTGGGAACAGCTGGGTGGCTCAGTCAGTTAAGTGCCTGCCTTCGGCTCAGGTCATGATCCCAGGGTCTTGGGATCAAGTCCCACACTGGGATCCTTGCTCAGTGGGGAGCCTGCTTCTCCCTTTGCCTGCCACTCCCCCTGCTTGTGCTCTCAGTCTCTCTGACAAATAAAATCTTAAAAAAAACAAGTGTGATTTAAAAAACAAATAAATAAACCCACAAGACTTGAAAACTAAAAATCACAAAACATTATTGAAAGAAATTAAAGAATTAAATAAATGAGAAGACATCCCATGTTCATAGTTCATAAGACTTAATATTTTTAAAATGACAATATTCCCCAAACCGATTGACAACTCAATGTCATTCCTATCAAAATCCAGGCTCGACTTTTTGCATAAGTTAATAAGATGATCTTAAAATTCCTACGGAGATGCAAAGAACCCATAATAGCCAAACAATCTTGAAAAAGAAAAAAAAAGCTGGAGCACACACACTTCCTAATTTCAAAATTTACTACAAAGCTACAGTAATCAAGACAATGTGTAGTAGGAATATGGTTAGATATAAAGATCAATGGAATAAAATTGAGAGTCC